GATGCAGCATCAGTTTTTGTCGATTTCCTCCCTGAGTTCGACGAAGATTGCGACACGGGCGAAAGGCTTTTCTCACTAGAAACACTGATGTCAAGTTTTGAAGATGCCCTGACTTTGCGACTCGTCGAAGACACTCTTGATGTCGACGAATCGAGAATCAGTAAATCAGATTCCACGGGAGCCACCGACACGTTTGATCTTACAGCTTTTTTTTGAGACTTTCTCTGGGACGTCGGGGAATTCAACTGGATGAGATCAACGTTCGTCTTCCTCCCGGTGGGTGCAGACTTCGAACGCCGAATGCTCACCTTGGCTGGCTGACTCCTCGATGAAGGAACAGACAGCTGAATCAAGTCGGTTGACTGTTTCGAGCGATTCAACGAAGCGGATTGCGGTGTGTCATCAATATTTGATAAAGACTTCGTCCATTTGCCAGTGGAAGATTTTTGTAAAACAACTTCGTGCTCTGGTTCGAAAGGCTCAACTTCTACTTCAGAAAAGGATGCGCTCGACTTTTTCGTAGATTTGCTCTTCGATTGTCTCGAAACCGGCGTTTCTGTTGGTCCTGATTCACGATTTTTGGTTCCGGACTTCGTCCTCCGTTTGCTGGATATCTGTTGAACTAGTTCGGCTGGCGTAGTCATAAGAGCATCGGCGACAGCCTCGAGTTGCTGTGGAGTGACAGGATTCTTTTTCACGGATGCTGCTTTGCGCGCTGACGAGGACTTCCCGGTTTTCTTCGCTGACAGCTTTGTAAGCATCTTGGACGGAGTACGAACTCCTCCCCTCACTTTTAAATCGACAACGTTCAATGCTGAAAAATAGAGTGAGAAGTAGTTGTATTGTTTTCTGTAACATTCCGAACCAATCAAAGAAAGTAATTTAAACTGAATCGCCCAAGTCCAAAAACTACTTCTGACATATGCATATGCAGGGACTGAATTGATCGACTGAATACTGGATCACTCGACATAAGGTATTTTCAACTTCAGGTTTCTCCAGTTTCTTTGAAGCCAAATTATTTGCCTTCATGATTAATCATTTCATAAATGCCGATTTCAGAAATCACGATTTTGATTATAATTTTACAAGCAGACTCTCTACAACAATTTTCTTTTTATAACGAATTTTTTTGTGGTCTGCTAGGGTCTCTACCCATTCTATAGATAATTGATATACTCTACTTGCATAACACTTTTTTCTGCTCCCCTGAATTTCGTTGTGAAGAGTCCAACTATATAATCGTTATATGTTCTTTTACACTAACTCATTCCATCGCTTGTCTAGTTTTGGGAACACATGCAACATATTGAATTAATGGGTACGTATTAAAAATGTACGACCGATTAATAAAAACTAATCGAAGACATAAATAGCGACCGTAAATTTGTTCGAAGTGAAATTTACTAACCGGCTTTACTTCGAGATGCGGGCGACTTTCCCGCAAGACGTTTAGGAAGAGGAATCATGGACTTCGTCGGCTGCTCACTAAACTGCGACGTCTTCTTAGTCGGTTTATTTCGTCTTGGTGATGTCAGTGATGGTCGATGCGCAACATAGCTAAGGTACACGGGTTCTCCGTCTTCCTCGTCGCCTTGAACCGACACTCTAGATTTCTGTAAAACGGAGATGCAGAAAAACTTAATATTTTCGACAACACCACTCGTTCTCAAAGCGCCGTATGGGAATCGGAAGCACTTCTGAAATGACAGGCGAAGAAATTAAACCCAAAGGTACCTTCTTAGAACCACGTTTCCCGGACAATTTCCCCACGGAGCTGCGAGAAGCATCGACGGATTCAGGGGTAGAAAATCCCAAGGACGTGTCGGCGAGCAGTTTGTTGAAAATCTCTTCGCTAGCGGTGCCTCCAAGCAGGTCGAAGGTTCTTTCTTCACCCAATGAGGGACGAAAAAGCTGAACACCATTTTTGCTGGGTGATTTTTTGGAACTAGGTTTTGGTGTCGGACTTTTCTTCACCAATTTCGAAGCGAGGATCTGTGGAATAATATTAGTCGAGAATAAAAAAAAAAAATTCTCGTCGCGACCCAAAAAAAAATCCTTAGAAAATTTACGCGGGATCCTGGTCAGGTCACCAAGAAGCTAACCTGTTTATGCAGCGACGCTCTAGCTGACGGTCGAGCACCTCGTTTCAGAGGCGACATAGGCGGAAGCCGGTTGTCGAATTGTTCCGGGCTAAGATTTGGCCCGAAGGACACATTCCGTTTTCCGGCGGATCCCTTCAGTAGTGCGGCAGCATTCTTAACCGCTTTCTTTGGAGTGATAGCTTTCCCTTGATGCATGGTTTTCCTTTTCATGTCTTTGAATCCGGCGAATGCTTCGTTAGCTTTCCACACCAGCTTAATCATACCGATGCTGATGACGTCCCCGTCCTTCAATTCGCATTTTCCTTCAACTTCTGCGCCGTTCACCAGAACGTCAGTGCCTTCGACACCACTTTCCAGCACCAAAACCGCCTTTCGAACGTTGAAGAGATTTAGAAAGAAATGCACAACGTACAGTCAAATCTCGGTCCAGCGAATTCTTGCTCACGAGCAATTATTTTTTCAAATTTCTGCCCAATAGAAACAATATTTTTAAAATCGCTCTATAAAAACATCTCTTTCCAGGTCTTAACAGCTTCGTTGTAACAAGATTTTACGGGATCATTTTTTTGTGAATGCAGTATTTTAGAAGATTATCTGACGGATTACATTTTGAAGACTTCAGCTCACCTTGAAATTTATCAGGCTGATAAAGCAGTGCTTTTTACGCGTTGGCGCGGTCTGTAATCGAATGTCACTTGAAAGATCCCGTCCAACTGTGATTTTCGGGTTTACCATGGGGTACTGTCCAACACGAACATCATCTCTATTGAAAATTTCGAGGTAGCCCGCAACGTTTGGCCCCAAAGCCGCACACATCTTGCACTTCACAAAAAAAAAAAAAAAAATCGGCGCGAATACTCCAAGCGGCTAATTTCGCGCGCGCCGCTGTTTCACCTGGATGAAAAAACGAATGATCGTTCAAGTAAAATCATCGGAAGCGAGGCCATCGAACGACAGAAAACCTTGAAACTGTGCATTCAAAACCAGCCAGAATGAAGTTGCATTTTTTAATGTGGAAGAAATCCGCACAAGCAAACTTGAGAAAATTAAATCCTTACAAAGTTTTTAAAATAAATGAGCAGGAGTTCGGAGCATTTTAGTAATATGAACCAGTAAAAAAATGAACAAAAAGATTTCAAATCCAGTGCAGAACATCTCCAGCGACCATCACCGTATTATCGTCGCTGAGGGAAGAAACAGCCGAGTCCATCTCTTCTGCTGTGAAGCGTGGACCTGAATGATTCTGCGTATCAAGCTTCCCATTGATGAAACCAAGCACTTCACTCAGCTGAAGCATCGTTGAACGACGCTCTTGGAACATTTTCGCAAGAAAAGATTTGAACAGTTTCTTCCTGTTGAGGAATACGGATATACAGTACTGTGTATGAATTGCAAACTTGAATACAGTAATCTTTAATTGAAATAAACTTATGGTACTCTAAAAGAATACAATTTACTCAACATGTCTTCCAGGATCAAAATACACTGACAAATGCTTTTGTAAAAAAAAGTGCTGGGTTTTAGAACTGAATTTGAAAATTTAAAAGAAATCTATGTGGACAGGGGTATAAGAATGCAGCTAAAATACGAGGGGAAAGTGCAGTAGGGTTCAATAAAATCTTTTAAAGGTAAAGTCAAGAGCTTTTTATGTTTATGGCTCACAGCCTTCGGTTAGTTATGAATGATGCAGCAAGATTTAATATCAACAACAAATTTTTCAGCGGTGTCCAAAAACAGAACAATAATTTATTGCTGCTTTGGTGATCTTCAAATGCACAAAAAAAGTCACGTACTGGTTTCAATCCTAAACTTCAATTTCAGAACTGATACTTAAAATTCATCTGTTCACTTGATCTGTGTCGCGACATTTCGATTAGATTTATAAGATGCAAATATTCTTTTTGAATAACAAATGTATAATTTTCAAGTATTTGAACCCAGATAGGCACTTCTTTGTTTTTTAATAAGATTTTAATAGTTCACAGACACCAGGTTCGGGTTTCCACGAAAGTACCACACCTACCAGTGCCAAATATGCTGAGAACGGTATTTATGGTAAAAATCCACCAGTATTCAATTGGAAGCTTTTCAGAAAATCCGCCAACAATTACTAGGCTAAGAAGCGAACTTCCGATTATTGTGTCTAATGACCATAAATCCATTCTCGAGATGAAATATTATCACGGAAAAATTGACTTGGAAAATACTGCGTAGGATTACTGTAGAAAGCTTGGAAAAAATGTTTACTGACGTGAAAAAACGGTTAGACTAAATTTGCATAATTTTTTAGAAACGGTAAATCTTAAAATGGTATTGGATTCTCCAACGAACCTTTCTGCACTCAAGGTAACTGGAGCTGAAGATGCAGACGAAGCATCAACCGAACTAGGCTGTGAAGTACTCCCGACACGACGCTTTTTCCTGGTCGCCTCAGCAGCAGATGATGATGATGGTGTAGCCAAGGGATCTGCGGACATGGTCTCATCTGTCGAAGGTGCAGTTCCTTCTACAGCCTCGTCTTTGAAGTACTCCCGACACGACGCTTTTTCCTGGTCGCCTCAGCAGCAGATGATGATGATGGTGTAGCCAAGGGATCTGCGGACATGGTCTCATCTGTCGAAGGTGCAGTTCCTTCTACAGCCTCGTCTTCACTCTCGCTGCCTTCTGCTTCACCTCCAGAGGGTGCGCGTCTTCGCTTCCCTTCCTTCTCCAACACGCGTTTGAAGTATGCGAACTGAACCAAGTCGATCGCGGCATAAGCGTCGCGACACTCAATTTTTCTCGACATTCTGGCTTTCGCGTGGGCTGTGGCAAGACGGATCAAGGTTTCCAAGGCACGAGCGGTTACGGGTTGCGTACGGGCCATTTTCGATCGACCGCCACCGACTGCTGTGTTTATTCATGACCATGAATTGAAGGCGCCAGCGATCTCGCGAGCGTGTCAAAAACGGTTCTTCCGTTCTGTTTCGCAAAAGAGCGAATCTTCGTGAATTCTTCAGTTGTGATGTTTACATCGGCCGCTTTACTCATAGTGATGACATTATTGGCGAGAATAATCGATCTGAGGGACACCGTTGTTTTAGTCGAGGGCTTCACGATAATAAAAAAATTTATATACTGACCTGAACATTCCTGTACTAACGTTACCTTGCTTCGAAGGCAAGCAGCGGAATTCGCCCACGACCTGAACTCGGTCTCCCGGTTTGCAAGAATCCACGAGACTGTGTTCCACCATAACATCCACTGATCGTGGTAGCTGGCCTGTAAAACACAAAAAAGTTTTTCTCTGTTCGAACGCAGCTCCGAACGAAAAACTAACCCGCGGGAGCCTTCTCAGGCATTTCTTGAATGGAAAAAATTTGATGATCCTTATACGACGACAACCCGTACTCTGTTTCCAATGGATTACCATCTTCATCCTGCATTAGAATTCCAATAACATCGGTCTTCAGAGAGACGTAAAAAATTTTGCGTTCACCTTCGTAGGATATGAAGCAGAACTTGGGAAAGGATCGCTACTCGTAAGATCGGTGTAACGTCGTTCCATTGTTCTTTGCGTAGCGGGACAATAATGGACTGACTTGACAACTTTGGGCTTGATAGTCGTACACTTGGTGACAATTCCATCACAACACACCAAACTACCCAAAAATCGCGAGCTCAAAGAACGCGGGGAAACGTGTTTAGATCCGAATGTTCCTTCCAATCCAACGAAGAATTCCATATTGGAAAGCTCTTTCGCCAACTCCGGTTTCAACAAGCCGACCATCTCTTTTAGGGCACCTTGAAATGCGATCAGTTCGTCCACAGGCGCTTTCAAAAGCCTAAACCCAGGAAAGATTCAACAAAACGAAACAACACTGAAAACTTCATACATACCCTTCCGCTCGCTTGCGATTTTTCTTCCGCAAATCGACCATATCCACGATCAAACGATTCTGACCATCTTCCAGCATACGACTGACAGTAGTAGAATAAATTCCTTGATCCGCCTGGGCATAAAACGACATCAGAATCATTCGAGGGCGACAGATTTATTCTAGAATGGCTCACCTCGTCATCCAAGAAATCAAAATATTCTCTTTGCATCACCCGGATTTCCTGTTCGTGATCCATCTTTACAGTACTGTAGCTCAAATTCCGCAAATAACTCGAAATATGACTTCCTCGGTCCTGAGAATCAAAAACGAAGCAAACTCACGGGATCAGAAAGCTGTCAGAAAAAGTCACTTTCTCCACGCTCACTCTCATCAGGAGTTTCAACAACTTCAAACGCTCGCAATTTTTCCTACCTATTGTACAAAATAAAAAGATAGTAACTTAAGAATCAACACATCGCCACAAACCACTAATGTAACAAGCACCTTTGTTCCGCCACGCTGTGTGTAAGTCTTAGGTACGGGTTTGGGCGCGGTTGCCAGCAACGCGCGGTTGTAAAACTTAGAAGCTGAAAACTGGCCGGACAGAGAGACCCGCGTAGTTTAGGGCGTTCCCTACAAATACATTTTTGATCGCCTTACATGATATCGCAACTTGCCCAAAATGCTTCCCCTACACTCAGGATTTAGGAAAATTTTCTGAAATTCAACCTAAAAAAGAATACACATTCAAGTACTCGTTTTGATGAACTAGAAAATGAGCATCTGTTCGACACAAATGGTTTTTCAGTTCGACCGTTGACAAATATAGTCAACAGGTGTCGCTAGAAGAGAAAAATTACTGTTCAGTACAATACTGTACACCCTTATATGGCTATGGTTATCATGGACCTCTCTTCCAATTTAAAACGCCTTAGCTCAGATTAGTCAAGGCATTATCACTAATTTTAATTTGGCGTAATGTGCTCTCCATCGTCTGTGAACTATGCAGCAAGATACTTGTACTTCGCTTTTTGGATTCGTTTTATGATGCAGCCAAGTTATTTTCTGCAACTTAAAGTTTATAAAAAATTGGTATGCTATTTTTCAGGGGACTTACTGCAAATTTGTGACAAACTGGCGAACCAAATAAATAAGTTATCATTGAAGTCTATTGGGAAAACCTGATATGACGTACAGTGCATGAAAATTCTGACACATACAGTATATGTACAAGGTCGAATAAGCACCAATTATGCATCCGCATCTTTGGGGCCCGACCATCCACTGAAATAAACCATAAAATTTAATTACAATAAGAAATCTCATTATAACAAATGGTTGCTTACATCAGAGTCATTTTTAGGTTCCAGTATATGCTCAATAGCCATAATGTAATATGAGATACTGTACTACTACTTTAAAAAGATTTTTTCTGTTACAATATGAAGCTATTTTACTGGTCTGTAATACAGCCATAGTTTTTGTGGTGACGAGATTTTACTGTGTGAATGGACTCACCTTGCTCGTCGTCAAATCTCCTGCCATATCTGCAGCAACGAATACTATACCGTATACTGTATAACTGTAAGTTCATCGGCGGAGTGCAGTCTTGGAATGTCTGCTGCTGGTTCATTCCAACTGTGTTATGGTTCGTGTCCCTGCATGCTAAGGAAGGTTGCAGCGGTTTCCGGCATTCCGGCATGAACATGCACCCCATTGCTCGCGGCGATGTGGACCCGAGGCCTCATCCGTGTGTTTGTCGTTCCAACTTGGGACGGATTCTTTATTTTATTTTATTATTTTTTGTGAGAATCAAGGCTCGAAAAGGAAAAGAAGGCACCTGGTTTTTGGAAAACACTCACATCCGAAATATGCTCTGTTTTCGTGCTATTCACAGGAAAGCGGAATGACTTTTTGCTCTGTATTCATGGAAAATGTGGGAATTTTTTTTTTGCTGAACTCGTCGTATATAAAAAAATGGAAATGGCGTTCGACGTACATGCAGTACTTCTGAAATTTTAACCACCTCTTGTAAAACTTCTTCAGTATGACGATTTTAGCCCAGCATATGTTGCTTTCAAAAAAGCTCATGTTTTTGGCATTTTTAGAGACTGCGGCATCTTTTCGAAAGTTTCTGTGACGAATTTGCGTCTTTCTCGGCAGAAAATAAGAAACCTCTCAAACCAATTTTTTCTCGAGAGGATGAATCTCGTTTCCAGCTCCAGTTCTCATCATCGTTACCTTACTCAAAATCACATTTGAATTAAAATTTACAGATTGAACAAAATAAATTTTTGCCGATATTCCACGCGCGTTCAAATTCGTCAGCTGGCGGATGATGGCAAAAAAAGGAAAATTTTATAGAGATTTTTCACGAACTACTCAAAGAAAAATTAGTCTTCAATTTTTCCTGAGAGAATGTATCGAACAAGTTCCGAAGAAAAGACGCGCTATTTGAGGTCAATAGACGGGAAAAGTGAACAATTGGCAGATACTGCAGTTGAAGTGCTTTCAGAGGGAAAAGAACGAGGTGATGTGAATGGCTGAAACCAAAAATAATTTAGATGAGCAGCTTTCTGAAATTCAAACTCCATATAATGCAGTATGAAATATCTTTCAAAGAAAAACAAGGAGGGGATTTGGATTGTTGACATCAATGAATTTCAAGATTTTAGAGCAAACGTCTGAAACCATCCAATCTTGAGTATGAACGCACATTAAAAAGCCTATTTTTCAATTTATTTCGCACATAGACCGCACCCCATTTCTTTGTGGTCCACTTTTTCTGAAGGAAACCGTGGTTCATGTATGGCCCAGTTAATATGGTAAAATGTTACACCAATAATAATGGCGACTTTGTCTTTGCTGTGGACATCAATTCTTGGGAGAATAAGTCCGCCGCCGAGATTCATGACATTTGAGATCCTTCCCATGCGATGAACATAAACTGTACACAATGAGAGACCTTGCTTCGCGAGAAGCAGATGCGATGGCAAGAGTTCGTCACTGTTTTGTGTCCATAAAAAAAGGACACGCATAAGAAAATAAAAATAGTAAAACAAAAAATAGAGACAAAGCAAACGAATGAATGCTGAGCAGTGTCTCCGAACACGCTTCTCAAGTACAATCCACAGCAAGGAACCGCGTGTCCTATGCTGCATGAGAAAAGAACCTTCGGTTATTCTGCTGTGCTCGTCTGTAGCTAGCTGCAAGACCCATAGTTCATTGCCACGCGACGGCGGCGCACTGTCCACTCGTAGTCAGAACGGGGTTCAAAGAGTCTTTGGAGCCCTGCGAGGTCCAAAATATCATCCCCTTCTTTTTTTTTCCGGCGGAATATCGACGTACGTCGTCGCGGCGGGAGTCGTGTTATAGTCGTGCCTGGGCATCTTCAGACGCGGGTCCGAGGGCTGGGTGCTGTTGGTTCCATCACTGGCTGCGAAACAGCGTCGGCCCACACGATTGACTTCACAGCCCGCGTTTCACCTTCATACATACTGCATATATTACGCAAAATGTTCTGAGTTGCAAACATGCAGCAGGCGGCGCCCTTGATGTTGTGCTGCACTACTTGATCCTCTCCAATTCGGGTTTCAAGGAACCAGCAAGGATTTCGCTTGAGGAAACTTTGAGTTGGGCTTTTTGCCTTAAAAAAAAGAAGAATTATACAGTAAAGGAAGTTGAAATTATTATTTTTTTGACCCAAGATATTGCCAGGATGCTGAGCATCAAAGGTGGATAGACCCAAGATATTGCCCGGCAACGGTTCCTTTGCTTTATTATTCTTCCATTTCTTTTCAAAAAGCACCAAGTTAATTTTTCTGTTTTTCTCTTTCCTGGCATCCTGGGTCACAAACATGATACCCAAAATGCTTCTATCCGGAAAATTGTTGTAAAGGTTTGAGGACGAGGAAAGCCTTTCAGTTGAGAAGGTTTCAACACCATCATATTTACTTATTAACTTTTTTTTTTGAAAATTGAGAGAAAAATGTGGTTGTACATCAAAGGTGGATAGACATTAAAAAAAATTCTTAGGTTCAGAACGTGCGCATTATATTTAATTCTAATGGAACCGTTTCAATTTATTTCAACAGAAAAACTCTTTTTAATCAAAAGAATAAAAACGTTAACTGAGTTCTGGTTTGATTCGTGTCTAAATTCGAAGGTTGGTGTTTTTTAAATATAAAAATGGTTTTAGAGTCCTCATAATATGGGGGTTGCATTTTAATCTGTGATAAGATTTTATCAACATGTTAGTCTGAAAAATCCAGGTGTCTTGTATCAAGGGGGCGTGGTAGTCAAATAAAACACAAGAATAACTCAAAATAAACACGGATTTCCGGAGTGCACAACATCAGAACAACCTTTTTTAAATCATTGGGGATGTTCGACTTTTTGGTCAATCGGATAAAATGGAAATCTTCTATAGATGTCCCAACGATGTAAAATGAATGTGGTACAACGAAATAAAATATGGGAAGCATTTTAAGCCTCGGAAGATCCTTCTGAATTTTTTTAACCCCATCATATACACGTACAGTATATT